CAGTTAAACAAACAAATAATTAGGACATTTTCTATAATCATTAACACAAGAAACTAACCATTTGAAATCATACAAAATACCATGCAAGAAAAATGTTAAAAATTCATCCAAAAAATCTTGAATAAAATATAAATATGAAAAGATCTGATTACATTAACAAACGAACCACAATAGGAAATCAAACTATTGAAAGACTATCAACAATCGAAAATTAAAGTCAAACATCATGAGAAAACTATCTCTAAATATAAATTGTGTATCCAAATTCAATTCGAGTGTCCAAATTAAAAAGATTAACAAAATAACTAGTCAAAATCATCTTAGCCTGTGGAGATGACATCAAAATAAATTATTTTCATATAATATTTTCATAATAAATCAAATTAAGATAATTATTTTCATACTAAATATTTAAATATATAATTTAAAATAATTAAAAAATAGATATTAATAATTATTTTTTCGTCTCATTTATATCGTCCATGATTGATTTTTCACGTAGTTTTAAGAAAAAAATTGTATAAGAGATGTGTTGTAAAAAGTTAAAACGACAATTTTATCTTAGAAAAATTAAATTTTACTTTATTGAGAAACTAAAAAAATGTAGAAAGAAATATACCTAGTAAAAATTATTGATTTTTCAAATGGACAATTTAAATGAGATAATTTTAAAACATAAAAGAGATAAATTTAATGGGACAGAGAAAGTAGGTAAAAAGTATGTTGTTTGTTATTTTTGAATTAATCATTGGTATTCGATCTTTTGATCGACTAATTCAAATCGAGTACTACATAGGTGAGGGCAACTCTCCCAACCCAATTTACTTCATTTGAAAATGTCAATAGTCAAACCTCTAATCTTACTTAAAGAATCTAGTGTCTCATCATACTAGGCCAACTGATTATTGGTGGTTGATAATATATAGTACTTCCATAAATAAATCTTTTTTCTTTTTTTTTTTATTATTTTGATTTAGTACATATATAGTAATGGGATAATCTTGGACATATTAATGCTTCGTTAATGTACTACCCTTCATGATAAAGTCGTGAAGAAATAAATAACAACTTAATGAAAAATGAAAATATATTTAAATAATTTACGAAATATTTAATTAAGCATCCACCTTAATATTTTCTAACTTTACCAACAAACATTATTCATCGAAAAAGCAAGAGTTGTCACCCATAATTTGATCATATATTGCTTTTCTGATAAGTCATACATGATTGGTGGATTATAGACGTGAAATAATAATGGTTGATGATAACATTTGGTTTGTAATTGTTATATAGGATTTATTTATTTTGATTCAGTGAAGAATAATAATAGTAGTCCAAAGTAGAATTAGAGATGATTAGTATCATTTGATTTTAAAAAAAAATCTTAGTGAGTTTATGAAGAAGAAAAATAATGAAATTGCTCATTTTCTTCAATTTTGAATAAATGATTTTATAGTGACTCTTATTGTCACTGTCAAGTTTAAGATTATTATGATTATTCGTAAATTGATAAGTTGAATGGATTTGATCATCTAACAATAGAATGAACTATATTAGATTATGTGGTTCTGCGTCAAGAATTATGTCAATAGGAATTACTAGTTAGAGAGTATAAAACTCTGTATTATGTGGTAGATGAAAGAAATCCTTCAAAGATGACTTCTTATTTTGAAGATCTGAATTTTTGATAGAATTTTTTGAATAGTTTGAGATGATACGAGGTAGTAATGTTCATTATTTCTTAGTATTAATAATATCCATACATTCTACGAACACAATTATTCAAACTTAACTTTTTAAAAATAAATTATCTTTAATTATTAAAATTATTCAGTGAACTCTTTTAATAGGATTGTTTGAAAAAATGATGTAAATAATAATAATAATAATTGCCAAAAGTTGTTTCATTGCGTTTCTTTAAGATTAGAAGCAAGATAAAGTTGATATGAAAAACTCAGTAACTTTGGTTATATATAATACTATTTTTAGGCAAATTAGGCTCATGATTACATAATATAAAAAATAATTAAAATATTATACAATATAATTGTTTGTAAAATTTTCTTTCTACAATGAATAAATATAATGTTTTTAGAATGAATAGATATATTTTAAAGAAAATATACTAAATATAATTGAGTTATATTAAAATAATCTTTTTAATAAATTTTTAAATATTATAAAATAATTATTATTTTTTTAAATTTTTTTAAAATATATTAAAATTTATCTATATGTTATAAAATATTATTAAATTTAGGATAAAGTACACAAATGGTCCCCTACTACAGGACAATGCTTTGTTGAGTCCCCGACTATTAAAATTTAGATCCCTCGGTTATAGGGCATTGCTTTGTTGAGTCTCTCGACTATTAAAAGTTACAAAATGAACACTTGACTATTCATATGTTCCAAACTCGTCATTTTTCGTTAAAAATTGACTATAGTCCGAGCTGGACGTTACTTGTTGACTAGGATATGATAAAATTTGATCCTAGAATCTTGAAAGGCTATCATATCTCAGTCAACAAGTTAACATACAACTCAGGCTGTAGTCAATTTTTTAACAGAAAATGATGAGTTTGAAATATATGAACAATCAAGTGACCATTTTGTAACTTTTAATAGTCGGCGGACTCAACAAATACCGCCCTATTGTCAGGGGATCATTTGTGTATTTTACGCTTAAATTCATCAAAATTTATTACTATTTATAAATAAAAATGATATTTTATAATAAATTAATAAATTTAATGAATCCTTTATAACATTCCAAAGTTCAATGACAAAAAAAAATCATTTTAACGTAACTTGGTGACTTCTAATGTACTAATCTATTTTTTAATCCAAAGTAGCATTTTATTATTTGGTATTTTTATGCAAATACAATGCATAAAGTTTGAATAAAAATATAATGCATTAATTACACAATCTTTTCAAAATTAAAAAAATATTGTATATTTAAATCTGTTTAAATCAATACCATTTTTTAATTGACTAAAAAGAATAATTTTTAAATATATGATAATAACTATATTAATTAAATTAAAATTCGATTAATAATAATTTAATTGATCAATTGTTTTCTTTTGGAAGGATACGAAACATTAATTGATAATTGTCCAAAGTAGAGTTAATTAGGGCGTCACAACATATAGAAAGATGTAATGTAATTATGATAATGACGACTACCTTCACTTTCAATCTTAATTATTAGTAGGCATAGCTCATGATCATCAATTTATGTAGATGCTTGTAAATTATTTCTCATCAAATTCCCGACAATATTATTATATAATAGATCGGATTTTTTTATAATTTATTTCCATATATACTTCATTATATGCAATTTATGTTTTAATGTATACGAGTTCATATTATCTTATGTATTGTTAAGAATATAGAGATATGAACCAACAATAGTTGGTCTAGTGGGATGAGGTACTAGGTTCTTTAAGCAAGGTCGGATGTTTGAATCTTGGCGTTTGTGAATGAAACAAATTGGGTTGGGAGGGTTGCCCTCGCCTCTTCAGTATTTAATCTAGATTAACCGGTCAATATATCGGATACTAGTGATTAATTCAAAAAAAAAGAATATTGAGATATGAAATTTAAGGTTTAAGGTTAACATTTTAGACTTTAAGATTTAAAATAGAGTTTTATATTGTAATATCTAAAAATAAAATAAATTTACATAATTTATTAATCAAATAATAATCCATATAATATAACAATAATAATAACAAATGTCTAGTGGCAAAAATGACCTTTCATGTCAATACGTATCCAACTTATATGCAAGTCATTCCCGTCCCTCATAAAAGCAGAGAGGGCAATATGAACTTTTCGGTAATGATATATACATTTCTCAAAATATAATCATAACTTAAAAGAACTAAATCAAATTACAAAATTAATTTAAAGTTTAATTTTTAATGCTAACATAAAACATTTTTTATAGCTTAAACTTTGACTTCTAAAATATCAACAAACTTTAAACACTACTTTCTTACGCCATCGAAAACATTATATATAACTTTATTTCCTTTGATTACTTTCATCCTTCCCTCTTAATTAATATTAATTTTATTCTTTTAAGTGAATTTTTTAAATAATTTATAACAAGACAGTATTTGTTCAGAATTTTTCTTAACTTAAATAATGTATATGTCCACTCTGTAGACAAGATGAACCTAGGCGGGGCAGTCATCTCTCTAAAAATCTAATTATCATATATTTTTAGACTTTTTATGTATTTATATTGAAAAACTATTTTCGCCCACTAAAATTTTATAAGTTCAAGCTCGCCTCCTAAAATTTTATAAGTTCAAATTCACCCCTAACATAAAATTCTGCGTCTGTCCCTACTTGTAGACATCTACTCGAACTTGAATCCTCCAATGAGATCAACATTTTCTTTAACCAGTGAGACCATTTGATAGGTTCAAATGATTTTTTTACATGAATGTTAAATATATAAAAACTTACAGAAGTATATAAAATTAAATAGATTTCTCAATTAATTTTACATAAATTGATAACTGTTTATCTAATAAAACTGTCCAATGTATATCCACAATAGAAAATATTTCTTGTAACTTTAGTTTTTCTTGTTACTTCCCATTAATAACTAACTGGTCACACAAGCATGGCCCCTATATACATATATGTAGAATATACGTAAGATTTTCTCAATTAATTTACATAAATTGATAACTGTTTATCTAATAAAACTGTCCAATGTATATCCACAATAGAAAATATTTCTTGTAACTTTAGTTTTTCTTGTTACTTCCCATTAATAACTAACTGGTCACACAAGCATGGCCCCTATATACATATATGGTAGAATATATCGTAAGATGCAAAGGCACTTGATTTTCATCCTAATCTTGTCCTTTATGTACACACACACACACAAGTTCCTATTCAATACACTTCTATATATTGTCAAGTTCCTTAAACAAAGCAAATCATAATCTTCATCTTCATTCATAGAAACTTTTCTTATAGGTTGAAGATAAAAAAAAATGGGGCTAAGGGACATAGGAGCAACACTGCCGCCTGGGTTTAGGTTTTATCCGAGCGACGAGGAGTTGGTGTGTCATTATCTTTACAAAAAGATTGTGAATGAGCATGTTTTGAAGGGTACTTTGGTGGATATTGATTTGCATACATGTGAGCCATGGCAGCTCCCTGGTATCTCTCTCTTTCCTTTAGTTTTTCATTGCTTTCTTTCTTTACCTGAGTTTGATGGGGGTTTCCCCAAAATTTAGTGTTCCACTAAACCTAAAAGAAAACTTTTTAAGGTCGGTAGCTTCTGTTGTCCTCGAATACAAACCAGTAGCTTCTGTTGTCCTCGAATACAAACCAGGAAAAAAGAAGAAGAAGAATAAATTTTTTGAATTTATCCAATGATTCAACAAACTAAAACTATCGTCTGCCATGCTAGTTTACGCATGTAAGTATATGTGTATGTTTATATGTTGATGTGTTTGAATAATCAATAATCAATCTCGACATCAGTAGACGTCGAGTTTTGAAGTTGAGTTCATCAATCAAATTATTCTAAGGATTCGAAATTCACAATTCAAAATCTTTTCATTACAAAAATCTTGAAATCTATGGGCATTAATATAGGTAAAATATCTTTAACCATATATCCTTCATAAATTCGTCTCTTGATATAAAATTGTGTTTGCCCCTACATAATTTTATCTTTTATTTTATTTTTTTACAACGTATTATTTCCTTTTAAAAGTAGAATATGTGAAGATATGCCATGTTATTCCTACACACAATACCTAATATTTTTGTCCAATCATCAACCTTTTTCTCTTTGTGCTAGCTCGTGTAATTTCCAAGTTAAGAGTATCTTTGTCTATCTATAGCCAAAATGCTAAGTCCTAATATTATACATAAGCAAGATCATTACAATATCATGTGTAGGTAATTAAATTACTTGAAAACAGAGAGTTGCATAAGAAAATCTCTAAATGTTTTGGGTGTGGCCTTGGGCTCTTAACATGTGACCTATAAATAGAAACCTACTCTATTTTCCTACCTAATTATTTTATTGACATGTGATGGTTCTTTTTTTGGTGTTTTTTAAAAGTTTACGAGTTCTTTCTAAATATAAAACCTAACAACAAAGAGGATTTTATACGTAATTGTTGGTTATTTATTTTGTCTTGAAGATTTCTTTTGGTGAATTCAATGTTTTGTTGTCTATTTCAAAATTTACGACTGACTTAAATTCTCTCGTTAAAAATGTAATGTATTGTACCTTATGGGTAAACCATTAATATATATTTATACATAAAAGATATTGGCATAGCATGTAATTCTTAGACATAAATCAGGTCGTGGCAAAGACTTACCAACACTCTCAGCGATTCAAGGAGAAAAGGTTAATGAAAATATATGTCGAATATAAGGAAAGTGAAGCATAACCTGTATGCATTGGATTAACTGTGGACTTTTTCTTTTTTGGATTAAATTAAAGAGGTGGCAAAAGCTGAATGCAAATGAGTGGTATTTCTTTAGCTTTCGAGATCGAAAATATGCGACGGGATTCCGAATGAATCGGGCAACAACATCAGGTTACTGGAAGGCGACAGGGAAAGATCGAGTGGTGGTGGACCCAAGAACAGAGATGGTCGTAGGGATGAGAAAGACATTGGTATTTTATGGAAACCGAGCTCCTAATGGAATCAAAACAGGATGGATCATGCATGAATTTCGGCTCCACACTCCACATATGCCCCCTATGGTCAGTTAATTTCTCTTATGCATGTATGTATGTATGTATGTATGTATGTATGTATGTATGTATGTATGTAAATGACTAACTATATCTATGTATGTAAATGGCTAATTATATATATGGATGTATGTAGGAAGAGTGGGTTCTATGTAGAGTGTTTCACAAGAGCAAAGAAGAGAACAGCACCAAACTGAGCTCCCCAATGATGTTGGAGACCTCATCAAATGACACACCCTCTTTAAACCACCAAACAACTTATCAACAAATAAGCTATTCCACCACACCTACCTATCAAAGCCACGCCCAGTGCTTGCTAAACCTCCTTCAATATAATTCTCATCAGGAAAACAGCAATGAAGTTACCTCCAAAGTCTATGAGGGCTACGAACACTTCTTGTGGGACATGGAAGAAAACAGCAGCTTGGGAGGTCATCATCTTCCCCGGGTAGCTTCCGATGTAGGGAACACGAGATTTGGGACTGATAAAAAGTATGCTTTCTCACAAAAGATATAGAATACTTTTATGGAGTAAAAAGGATAGCCATTTGTAATGGTGGTGTGGTCAACTCAAAGTATAAGATTCATGTGTGTTATAGTTTAGGGTTTATTTATTCTTTGTATTCAACACTGGTCATTGTGAAAATTAATCATATATAATTGTTCTTTACAAGTCTTGAGCAAAACTATATTAGATTATGTCATGGTTGGACTAAAATTTTAGTTAACACATACAAAGAATTATGTCAAGTTATTAATATTCAAAACCAAATGTAAGACAATTCCATCCATATCTCAAAGGCCAGCCAAAACTAATCCATGCAATGTGACAATGCCAATCAATATATTCTGATGATCAATAACAGGTAGAAATTGTACGGGGGAAGGCGGTGACTCCCATCTTTTGCATGGCTTCCACAGCCATTGCCTCTGGACCGATGGTTCTCGGTTCCCTTATATAAACCAAAATGGTACTATATGAGTGACTTCATTGAAAACAAGATCCTCTGGTAATCATAAAACAACTTCACAATTTGCTACGACTGATTTAAAAATGCTCCATTTGAATTTAGCTGTTGCACATTTCTCCAACAGTGAGCTTGAATATGGCTTCTCCACTGGCATTAAGAGTACGCCGCAAATCACTATCCGTAAATGTGCCGAGCAAGTGATATTCATCGTCTATAACCAGCAAGCATCAGCATCCGCATCCTTTACTAGTCAGCTCCATCAGCTGGTCCATTATCAAATCTCCTTCCTTGCAAATTGGAAGTTCATCTTATTACATCTTTTACCTACAAACACAAAATCCTCAATCCATCATTCTACAGGTCCAAGAATTTTTTAAAAAACAATTATTTTCTTGACCTTCAAGTTGCCTCCACATTACCCAATTAAGAAATGAAGAAGCCAATGCAAAAATCAAGCAAAAAAGAAAATATGAAAAAAGAGAGAAGAAATTTCAGTTTCAAATGCCCACCAATCTCAGATGACAATGACATGATCCTAGAAGTTGAAGCTTGTTCTAATACATAAAAATTACTACAACAAACATTTTTAATTTTCTTTTTTAGTTTTCACCATTCTACTGCCTCTTATATCAACCAATTATAATAGCAAACAAAAATAACAATCTTTTTGGATCTTTCAACTACAACCCAGATCACAAACAATTGATAGGGATCAACTTTATCAAAATTCATTAAACACCCACTACTATAAAAGTATCTCAAGTTCAGAAGCAATTACTGAATTGATCAAAAATCTGATTTCAGAGGAGTATTTAATAATAAAATAAAAACAAACCTTGAAAATAAGGCTTTTCCCAATCCTCCCAGCGGGATGATTCGCGGCGTATTGCTCCTTAGTCAAGTTCCTAGCCCCCATAAGCGCAATAGCCACGGTGTCCCCAAATACCATCTGGATCGCAATCGAAGTCACAGGCGCCAGATCGAACGGACACACTCCCTCTCCAACTGCAAATCCACATTCAAATCGCAAACGTTGGACAATGCATTGTTGGAAACGGACCGAAATGAGATAAGCCCCCTTGGCTCTAACACAGGGAGCGTATGAGATTGCACCGATGTCACCGTGGAGGGTGATGAGAGGGAGAGGAAAGAGGAGCGTATGCCGAGGGAAACTAGGGTTTGGGAGATCTTGTTGGCGACGATTCCGGATTTTCCGACGCCGGAGAAGAAAATGGTGCCACGGGAATTGGGGAGTGTTTGGGTGAAGGACAATGCTTGGGACAAATCGAGGTTTTGGAAGAAGTAATTGAGGTGGTTCTGTTGGGATTTTAAGAGGTCGAGAAGGGTAGTTTCGGAAATGTGTTGCTTCTCCGACGGTGGAGATGGGAGGTCCAGTGACGGAGGAAGCGATCCCATTGTCTGTCGGTGTTCTCAGATGTTGGAGATGTAGTGTTTGCTAATAAAAAAAGAAAGCGCATCTTGTTTTTGACAGTTAATTTCTCGCGGTAAATATATAAGTGCTTTACGGATATGCGATTCTCTTCTAGCCATGGAGTAAATAAATATTTATTTTAAGGGTCCGTTTGGTTCATAGATTTAAATATTTCTGAGAGGAATCTCTTTTTTTTTTGTTAAGATACCCACATTTGGATGATTATTATTCCCGAGTGATGGTAAACATTGAATACCAACAGTGTCTTTTTCCCCTGTTTTACTGGGAATGTTAATCCCCATCTCCCTTTGATATTTGTTGATTCTTGTCTCTGTTGGCTAAAATACCCCTTCCCGTTAGCTTACTTTGGCTGAAAATATTCTTCTTCCTCGATTTGAGAGAGTTGTGCGAGGAGTGTCTCTTGCTCCAATGGACTTCTTTTCTTTGTTGTCGTCTCTCCCCAGGTTCGTCTCTCCCTATTTGAGAATTGTTTTTCCCCTCTGTTCGTTTAAAGGAACGATTTGGATCTAAAAACTGGATTTTTTTCTCTGTTCCTGGAAAGGAACGATTTAGGATTTGGGTTTTTTTAGTGTTGCGAGGAACGCCTTTTTTTTTATCTCTATGTGTGAATTGGAATGCAGAAATGTTTTCTTTCATGCAATTCCTTTCCATGTATGAGTCTTTCTCTCGTTTATCATTTACTTTCCCGATTGTGATTTTCACTCTTCATTTTCGATTCGCACTAATTTGTATCCTAAGATTTCTTTCTTCTAAAATTAAAAATTATAGTTTAAGCTTATGGGATTTCGATTTAGAGTTTTTTTTTCAAGTCTGAACTAATTGCAAATCATATATAGTTTCAAGTACTAGATGCATTGCGTATTGTACTGGTTGAAATTTGGAATCGTTAACACTTTGAATCCCATTTTCCCCTTTTTATTTCACCTTTCTCAGGTCCCCTCTGGAGGTTTGAGAGGTTGAAGAGTAGTCTTAAAACTCTTGATCAGACCGAGTATAATAATATTTCTAATAAAGTTAAAAAGAAAATAGAGGAGTTGGAGAGGTTTCAGATTGCTAATTTGACTTCTAGTAGGGCTGGTGGTAATATTGATGATGAGATTAAGGCCTAGAATGAGTTATGTGCTTTAGAGGAGGCTGAGATACTCTTTTATAAGCAAAAAGTTAGGGCCTTGTTGATCACTCTTATTTTCGCCCTCTCCATACTTGGTATAGTATTCACCATGAGACTTCTTTTGGATCAGAAACTGAATAGAGCCCTTATAAACTTCATCCGGATTAGTGTGTTCCCGAGAACCTTTGTGGAGTTTTAAGCCCCGAGGGACTGATCATTGCCCAACCTTGGTCTACATGTCTAAGTAATCCCTTATTAATAAACCTAAGCCCTTTAAGTTTATGTTAAAACTCTTAATTATGTTAATAGTTACTCCAAAGAGCTTTATGCAACGCTATCATATTAATAGTTCTGTGGTGTTAGATTCTATACATTTTCATATCTAGAGACGAACATCAACCGCTCTACTCAAGCATCATGTGCATCAAGAACGCAATTTACAGACTATAGGTCGCTCAAATAATTAGCAATGTCCACTATTCCAGATGAGGTTCTATTGAACAATTAAGAGATCAATGGTCAAGGGCTAAGTACAATAAGGTAATAGGAAAATTTTAGGGCATTCAAAATTTACAAAGTCGACTTCTTAGTTCCTGGGATGAATTAAATGTCAGCCTTCTGTACTCTGCCAGTTTAGTATATATTGTCTTTCAACCCCTCAGCTATTACATGTTTCAGCTGGAGCATCTTTTCCCTTGCCGACTGCACTAAGTTAGGATGATGACATGTGTTAATCCAGATAGAAAACATTCAGTTCTAAATTAATCATAAAATGATAAAAATAAAAATCAGTTCAAATTTATAACTAAGGATTTAGTAATATAAACCAGGGTCTGTATATGCTATCTTACGTATGAGGACTTGACATAAAGTGGGTAGCAGATATCAACTAAACGATCATAGTATAAACTCTTATCAATTATACTAGGCTTCTTATTTTATCAGTACGATACAATAAGCATATATAACAACATAGATTTAGAGCCCAAATGACTTTATCACCTAGTGGCTCCCAAGTAATGTACGTTTGGTCTGTGATTTTCTATAATTTTCAACTTATGTTAAACTCTTGATTTATGTTTTTAATTGATTTAGAAATGTTAAATTAGTTTTCATTTATTTTTAATATGATGGCACACAATTGTTATTGTTCAATTATTATGTTCTAATATTAAAATGTTTGCTCATAATAACATTTATGGCTCGTTTACCGATGCGAAAGAAGACGCATATCGCTACAATTATTATTTTACAACTGCAAATGATGGAGATTGTGTGTCATGTGCTTATGGTTATTTCAGTTATTCTTAGAAAATATAAAATAGACCAAAAATAAGTTATGCACATGAAGACTTCATAGACATAATATTAGATCACTTAATTTACATAAATTGTATTTGAAAGCGATAGAAAGTGTTGATAATTTTCGAATGGATAGGAGAGCATTTCTCAAATTGTGTCACCTATTACAAAGTCACGGTGGGTTAAAAGAGAGTCGATCTATGTCTATAGAAGCAATTGTTATTACTTTCCTTCATATTATATCCCACTATATTAAGAATAGAGTTCTAAAATGTCAACAATAAGATCTGTGAAACAATTAGTAGAGTTCTCATACAATGTTAGCTTCAATCTTAAAACTGCATCCGATTCTTTTTAGAAAACCAGAACCGATACAAGATAATCAACAGACGATAGATGGAAATGGTTTAGGTATTGTATCATAATTCTGAAATTTCTTTTAAGTTAATTACTAATACTTTATGCATAAATGGATACTAATAATGTAATTTAACTTTATTTGATTAATATAGGGATGTTTGGGTGCTCTAGTTGGAACGTATATTAAGGTCAATGTATCTTCAATCGATAAACCTAGGTACAGAACAAGAAAAAATGAAATTGCAACAATGTACTTGGTGTTTCACACCAAACATGCAATTCAATTATGTTTTACCTGAGGGGAAGGTTCTGCAGCTGATGTAGAATACTCAGAG